TCACCGAAGTGAGCCTTAGAATCACCTTTGGTAAGAGTATCTCATGTTTATGTGCTTCGAAGGTGTTGTTGATACTATTTTGTGATGTGTGAGTTATAGGTAAAGTTATAGTGAAGTCAGTGTGCATTCACTGTAAGGTTACTATGATTTTATAGTTACTATGATTTTGGTATAAATTGAGTATAATTTGTAATGTTTCCTAAATGTGATGTTTGTTGCTTAAATGTGGTTCATATACTTTTGATATGAAGTTTTAATCAAAAAGAGAATGTTTCTCATAAATGTCCGTTTCTCATGATTTTATGCATTATTCTATACTTAGTACATGCATTGTACTAATTCCATACATTTTGTTATATCTAAATGTGTAGAAAGAAGGTGAGAAGTGTCTTTAAGCAAATCTTGGAATCTAGGATTCTTTCAAAAAAAGTTGAAGTATGTCCTCACTTGAATCGAGAATATAACTATCTTTACACTTCTTTTATCCAAAGTACTATAATACACTAATTTATTTCTATATTTGTATTATATGGGCCGTGTCCCAAGTATTCTTGAGTGTAAGATTGGCATATGTTGAGACTTAGTATTTTCGTATGATTTTTATATGAAAGATGTTTTAAGATATTTCTTGTGAAAAGTTTACATGTATGCAATGAATGATGTCAAATGGTTTGTAAAAGACCTCCGAGAGGTCAAGTACACACTCCGAGAGTGTCATATATTCTAGGGTGTGATTTATGGGTGTAACAATAATAGATATACAACCTAATAATCCATGACACAAACATGTTGAAGGCAAAGAACAAAAGGTAATGAATCAAAAGAAGGGAGTATCACCATGTCATTTGGTGATCGCGACTTACCTTGTCGAAAGGTCCGCCCAATACTCAATGTGAAATCTATAAATACTAGTTTTAGTTGTTATTTTTAGGTAGTCAGGACATTATTATTAATTTTTTCACTTTTTAAAACTTTAGTGTTTATATTTTCTCTTAAGTTTATAGAGGGTTTTTGGGAGACTTGAAGATCAAATGGTTTCATCTTCCCCAAGTAGGAAGTGGGTCTTCTCTATCCTTCTTCATTCACTCATATTAATGTTTAAATTCTTATACCATTTGATTTCATTATCATTTTAGGTATAATTTGTTATTGCTTGATGAGTAGATAAACCCCCCAATTCTTGGGGTGTGATTTAGCAAATATGAGTTGATATTTTTGATGGGCCTTGTTTGCAGATATATTAGATGTATTTAATGGTGATTTCACCTAGGGATTATGGTTTAAATTAATGGGTTCGTAGTTTCAACTTTAAATTTAACCACGTGTATTCGGCTTGCCTGAGAGAGAGGTCGTGAAACCAAGACTACTAGACTGGTTGCCTAAGGATTAGGTTGACATGAGGTTCAGTACGGAAGGGTGAGGCCAAGCCCCATGTTCTAACACTTAGCTCGAGAGAGTGAGTGGGGTAAGGCGTAGGTTGTCCTTCATGGGGAAAATGGGTGTCTGATACGAATGCATTTGAACGGAGTAAGTTTCCCAAGAGGGAACTTACTTTCATCAAAAGCTTAACCTAGTCACCATTATCTTTCAAAATTTCTACCGAAAGCATGTACCTAACTACAAATCACAATGTATTTTGTGGTCACACACAACGATGTTCTCCCCGAAAATGATTTTTTTATTGTTACTTTTGTTGATTTACTATACTTGTGACAAAACCTCCTTTTGATAATTGACACTTTGGTTTCACCCCTTTGATTTACAATAGTTTATTCGTTAATATCTTTATCTATGACTAATTAAAATAAAATTCTAATTGACTACATCTTCTCAAAATCTCTACCTTGGTACAGGACCCCAACCCTCATTGGGTCACTAAACTATCGATCCTCGTAGACATTTATACACTAGGCTAGTGTTGTTGGTCACGATAAGCATCAAAATGGCGTCACTACCGCGGAGTGGTGTTATGTGAAAATGTAGTTAATTTGAACTCTTGTTTTCCTTAATTTTTGTTTTACTAATCGTAGTCGTAGTTTTGTTTTGGTTGCTTGAACAGCAACGCAGGAAAACAAACATGAACGAGCACTATGTATATCACACATATAATCCTCTCCTAAAGTTATTAAACCTCAAGGATATTGTTCAAATAGGTAGGAGAAATGCAATTCTGGAACTATAGATAATGTTCAAAGAACTTTTTGTAGACTTTCCCATCTCATGAAATACCTTGTAAGACACTAATGGATTGCTTCTATCGGGGTCTCAAACCTCAAAATAAAAGCATACCTGAGCACCTTTTGAAGGTGGAATGCTGAGCCAACCCTACAAGTTGTTGTGACACTACTTGATTGAATGGCTTAAACCGACAAAGAGGCTCAAAAGAAGTACAAATGGGATAAACTGGTGGTACACGTAGATGTTATATCCAAATGGGTGATGGGATTGGAAGAGCAAGCCAGGGAAAAGTACAAGAACTTCTGCCTTCGAGAGCATAAACATAGTAAGTGTCATGAGAGTGTGAAAAGTGACGATACCCCTTCACTGCTCCAGCACAAACTTGACGAGCATGACAAGAAACTGAATGACATGAAGGAAAACACTGACATGCTAAATGAAGTAACTACTTAGAAATCCATGACCATTCAGCTGGAGGATGCACAAATTACCCATTTGATGGCATGTCACTATCCTCTGTTCACCGAGGATTCACCTAATTACACCATGGGTGATTCCAAGGATGAAGAGTAGTTTTTGACTTTCGTCGTTACGCGACGTTAACTCAGGATTTTTTTGGTAGGCAACCCAAAAGCCATCATTATATTTTGTTTGCATATTAAGAAAATGATAGTGTCTTAGTTTTATAGATAGAAATGTGGTAGGTTCTGTGAAGGTGCAGAATGGCAAGAAGTAGATCTAGTTGGTGAGCCACCAAAGACACCGACGGTCAATTCTATTTTCCCATTTAAATAAAGGTATCTTCAAAACTTTGAGTTCGTAAAACCCGATGATCTTAACAATATTACTGTGAATCACCTACTAGATCGACGACCCCGATGAATCACGTCATGGGAACATCCAAGTTTGCTAAGCAGTTCTTTAAAACTTGATGAAGTACAAATATATTTGGCGATGCGCTAAACAATTCAGAAGTTAAAGTTGCCACCTAATGGGAACAAACAAGATAATTTACAAGTAAACACAGAAAAAGATAACAAATGTATCATTCGAGAATGTGAGTTGACGACGGGCGGATTCGATCGCTAAAAAAGTTGTACAAATATTAATGAATAACTCGACAACATCCAACGTTCCAACCATACCTTAAGCTGAATGCTATATCTGTTGAAGGGCTCAACTAGAAGGAACTACTTAACCAAGATTACTCTCTATGCCTATCTCTATCTTTCTTTGAGTTGAACTTTGGATCATTTTGATATATTTGAGGATAAATATTTTCTTTTTTATTTATGGTGGGATGAGGCTCATATTGCTTGTTTGATACACATATTTGTGTTTTTCTTATACAATTGGGTTGTCTATTTTTATTGTGTTTTCAAACTGCTTTGTGATTTATTGATATAAATCCTTTATGTTTTTAACTGCAAATGATTTTGACCTTCCAAAAATTTTCAGTTTTTGAAAATATTTGCCACTTCTTGTATTGAAGGTGGTTATTTTCATAGAAAGTTAAGTCTCAGTTTTGATTAATACCGATGACTTTGAATAGTCCTCTCAACCTAAAAAATATGAATGAATGAGACCAAATGAAGTTACATAGGGAATATGTGAACTCTTTGCATATCGATATGATTAACAATGTATCAAATTGATTTCTCTTGTCATGATTATTGCACACTAAAGAAAGTGTGTAGTTTTATTTGGCTTTAGTATCGATGCCGTGTTTGATGAGATTAGTATGAAACATGTATGAATGAACCTATGATTTTCCTAGTTAGTCTGATTGCATTAGAAAGGTGTTCTCTTGAAATGATCTTAGGAAATTTTAAAAAGTGTGAGCCAAATTTGACATACACCTACTTTGTGACCTACCTGCCCTTGAGCCTTATCCTTTTTTGTGATTTAGTGAATATCCCAAAGATTAAGTTGGGGTTGTGGTTAAATGGAAAAGGAGAAGACAAAAATTTCAAGAAAAGTCTCCTTAACTCATGGTGCTACAAATAATATGGCAACCCTCTATGTAAAAAAAGAGAAAAAAAAAGACAAAAAAAGAAAAGAAAAAGAATGAAAAATAAATATTATGGGATAAAGGTCCATAAAAAATTTGGAATTCAAAGCAATCCATAGAGTGAAATAATAGGATGACTCAGAAGCACTAAAAGAAAATTTGTAGAAAAAGGTGGAGGAGCGGAAGTGTTTGTGAGCTCCAGAGTTCACGAGGATTTTTAATCACTAAGACTAAATGGACATACCTTTGCACTCAGACCCATTACAAGCCTTAGAAAGACCTTTTTAATATTGACTAAGCCAATCCAAAGTATATAGGAAAATAAGGGCAACCCTATGGGTAAAAACATGCATTGTGTTCATCTTTTTGAGTAAGTGTTGCATCTGATTCCTCATCTTAAAATGATTAACTTTTGTGTGTGAATATGGAACCATTGTTTATGTGAGGACATTTTTATACTGTTGTTTAACTTTAACTTGCATTAGTAGCTAGTATTGTGAGCATGAGAATCTTTGGTAATGGTGTGTCACAACTTGAATCTTTGAGTACACAAGTGATTTTTGCATGAGTAGTTTGAGTCTTATTGTGCATATTCATAATTGAGACTTATGTAGGACTGTTTTAGACATCCTATTTGAAATGCTAAAATAAGTTTTACTTGAGGAAAAACAAAAGTTTAAGTTGGGGGTGATGATGAGTCCACCAATTTGACACATTTAGGGATTTATGTTTATAGGAATAGTGTCCTCAAATTCTTATTTTGTCTCAATATATGATGAAAACTCTTATGTTTCATGTATTTATGTTTTAGTGGAAGCACGGACATTTACGCACAAAAAAAGAACAAAAGGGCTGAAAAAAATGTAATAGTTGAAGTTGAGCCTCACCATCATCCCTTTGTTCCAATACCCGAAGCCCAGAAGGAAGTGAATCGAAAGGCAATGACAGGATCATTTGGAATATCGCCGATCAGTTCCACAAAGCATATATGTACCGCCCAATGATCCATGACACAAACATGCTAAACTCGAAGCACAAAAGGCGATGAACCGGAGGAAAGGAGAATCACCAAGTCATTGGACGATCACGAGTCACCTTGTCGAATGGTCCGCATCAACACTTAAATTGAAATAAATAAATAATAGTTGTAGGCGTTATTTTTAGGAAGTACAAGCATTATTATTACTTAGTTTTTTATTTTTTCTCTCAAGTTTGGAAAGGGTTTTTGTGGGAGACTTGAAGAAGCAAGGGTTTCATCTTCCCCAAGTTTGAAGTGGCTCTTCTCTATTTTCATCATTTGCTCATATTAACATTAAATTTCTTATACCCATTTGATTTCATTATCATTTTAGGTGTAATTTGTTATTGCTTGATGTGTGTCTAAAAATCCCCATTCTTGGGGTGTGATTTAACAAATATGAGTTATTATTCTTGTTCCCTCTTATTTGCTGATAGGCTAGATGTATTTTAATGGTGATTTCACCTAGTGGTTGTGGTTTTACTTATTGGGTTTGTAGTTGCAACTAAAAACTCAACAATGTGTTTTTGGGTGGCACTCACATCTCAAGACCATAACCTAGACGATATGGCTCTCTCGGAGTGCAACTGGTGTACTTGACCTCTCGGAGGTCTTGTACAAGACCTTCCGTATCGTTCATCGCATATAAAATATATGAAAAGTAATGCTGTCACAGCCAAAATCTAGACCGCAGATGAGACCGACGTCGTTAATCTCTCAGAGGTCGTAGACAAACCTCTTCTTAGCTTTCATCACAATCATACAGTTAAATTTGCAGAAAATTTAAAACATTTTAATACTTATTAAAGTGTACATAGACTTTACATGATACTGCATAAGAGTGATATTATAATAATCTCAAACTAAAGCAACCATCTGTTAAAGATTAAACAGTCGAAATATAGAATCATAATAATAATAGTTTGCCATTCGTCCTTATTACAAACGCTTGAACAAATGTTTGAAATGAAACGCTAGGAACTACATCCACCAAATATGTCTATTGTACTAAAGCTAGAATAATAAAGTGTAGCATCCTTGAACTCAAAGAGGACCTACAAAAGTCTGGAGATCACTAATCTAAATTAGTTCGTCAAATCTTAAATCTTCTCTAAAACCTGCACCTATAAAAATACTAATAATATATGGGATTAGTACACACTTGTACTAAGTATGGGTATATGCACATAAAGACATAAGGACTATGCATGATCAAGGAATCCTAAAGTAATATGTTGTTTTCGGAAAGTTAAGTCACTTTACTTTCTTAAATCGTTATTTATGATTCATGCTATGAATATGACATGTTATTATGCAAATAAGTCATATGACTCATTTTCTATATGAACATAAGACCTTGGAATCATGAACATAATTTTAGAACAACTTGAACAAAACATAAGAAATTTGCTCCTCTAGGGCGAGAGCTCTTCCCTCCAGCCTTAGTTTATTTCTCAGTCTTTTTCTTCTTTCTATTGTGTAGTTCAATGATCTCCTTTGATCTTAAGTTTTACTTACAAGTGCAATGATTCATAGTAGTCGCGTACCTATAACGAATCGAGTAAGTAATTCAAAATACTAAGGAAATGATTTGGCTACCTTACTTACAAGTTATATTTTCCATTATTATAAAATTGGGCATGAATGTATTTATAAGCCAATTTTTATTGGCTATGCCCATTAATTGGTTGTTAACCTAATATATGAATGTTTGAGGCATATATTCATACTCCAATATTGGCATAAACCACTAACTTGTTAAGATTTCATTCTAATCAAACGTTGGTGATTGACATTCTTAAGCTCTTACATACTTAGCTCACTTTGAACTTACGTTTCTACTTCTTTGATCAATTGTTCACTGAGAACATGCTACTTTCATTATTTCATACTTTATTTAAAAAAATTAGCATTAAAAGGAAGTAGATTATGTGAGCTAACATGAAATTCAGTGTCTGCCCCACACCAAAAAGGGGTGATTCACCGATCAAAGTAATCCTAGATCATGTGAGTTAACATGAAATCCAGTGTCTGCCCCACACAGAAAAGGGGTGGTTCACTGGCTAAAGGGAAACCATGTCCAGTGTCTTACCCACACGGAAAATAAGTGGTTAACGACTAAAGTGAAACCAAACACTTATGTTGAGCATTAACCAACATAGATCATGTGATCTAAAATGGAATCCAGTGTCTGCCCGACACTGAAAAGGGTTGGTTCACCTGCCAAAGAGAAACCGAATACTACCTAGATCTCTTAGGTGGAATCCACTGGCCAGTTCCTATGCTAGAAACATAGTTCAAAGATTAGGAGATTTCGGAGACTAGTTATCCACCTTGGTGGTATCCTTATCTCATGAGGGTTATATTTGCTTGCACAAGCTCATTGTTAGTCTATCGGTGCTTTTCTCAATTTCTAATACTTTTAACTTTTTAGAGTTGACTCATACATTAAAAAAGCTTTCGTATAATATGAGGTATGCTTAACTCAATGGATGACTTGTCATCCCTTTCTTTACTTGATGAATGTGAACTTTAACTGTACATTATCATCATTGGTGTTAATGAGACTTGTCTCACAATTTCTAAAACCCTCTTATGTGAGTATATTTAACATAATTGTTTAGGTGCTAGTGAGACTTGTCTCACTTCCTTTAACACCCCATTCTGATCGATTTCATAGCTCATAAGATTTTAGATATGTCATTACTCACCTTATCTTGCTCAATGTCATTCGGTAGCCTTATACTTTTCTTTATGAAAGTTATTAACTTATTCAATGTACTACTATATTCGTAGTTCATTTTGATAGGGTATGTGGGGACTTGTCCCAATGATTGGCATACCCGTGGTTATGAATTCATTGAGTTACATTGGTCATGCTTAATTTGGTATAACTTAGTCATTAGCCAATTTTTATATCATATTTTGGAAATAATATGTAAGCTAATTTATTGGCATAAACCAAATTATGTTATTAATACTAGCCAAGTCAATTGTTTCATTAATACATTGTAGTAATCTCAACGTGTCAACAAGCCAACTTTTAACATTCGATTAGCTTATAAGAAAAATTTCATCTTCTCAAACACAATTGGCATAAGCCAAACTTTCATATATTATAATAAACTAAACCTTCATTTTTAAGCAAGCCAACTTTTAACATTTAATTGGCTTATAAGACAATTCAATGTTAGATTGGCCGAGCTACAAAGTTTATTTGGCATTGAAGATTCATTAATTAGCTTTGATTTACATCTTGTTTCTACTTGGAAACATTGAATTCCAAATGCTTACAACATATCTACTGTAAACACAAATAGTAAAGTTGAAAACTTCATTCTTTTCTACAAGAAACTGAATTTCATAAACGACTTATAACAATTTCATCTTCTAAAACACAATTTGGCATTAATCATACGGATCTAACCTATAGGTCTCAGTATAAATTATTAAATTATAGAAATCTACACATAATGATCAGATAGCACCACATACCAACAACATGCTCAAGATTTCGCGTTATACATACTACTAGAAGTCGAAAGTAGGGAGAACTAGGGAGATGAACATTCAAAAATTTCATTGGCAACAACCCTAGTTTCAGATCTCTTGAATTAAAAATGTTTGAAAAGACTCCTGGGGAAAGGAAAGCAAGAGAGAAAACCCATACCTTATTGTATAATAGAATCTACGAAGATCACCTTGCACTTTGCATGTAAACCTAAAAGAATAGCCTTGAAATCTTCTAAGGAGAATTTTCTATTTTTCCTTATGTTTGCTTACTGTTTTGAGTCGTGAGTTTTCTAGTGATTGAGCGTGAGTCTAAGTCTTAGGAACTGATATTGAATAATTCAAGTTAGGTTAATTAAGTTAATTAAATAATCAATTACCTAATTACCAAAATGCCACTCTTGAATTGACTAAAAATAGGAGAACATTTGACTTAGTCAAATCTGAAAATTTTCTAAGGGTTTCAGCTTGATTTTGATTTTTAATTAATTGATTAATTTTCTAAGTTAATTAATTAAGTGACCTAAGGTAATTAATAAAGAACCCCTAAGTCATTAGGACCATAAACAACCCTTTTGGACCATACTAGGTTAGGTACTAGGATGTTTCTTAGTTAGTTACTTGTCTTAATGTCACCGGGTTAGGTCTTAGGTTGTCGGGTACCTTAGTTAGATACTTTTTATTTGTCCTAGGTTAGTTAGTTATCTAGATCAATTGGTTAGAGACTAGGACCGGTTAGGGATCTTGGCCCCGCGTGGGCTAACCCGAACGCGCGCCTGTCCCCAACCGCTCTAATCGAATGGTTTAGCTTGACTCTTGGCCGGTTGCACATGTGTTGCGTGTACTTTACTAAATAACTATTCTGGAAGGTTCATTTGGAATGTTTACTTATTGTACCAAGGATTCTCACTATGTCTAGGCACTACTTAATCTACATGATTATTTTAAGTGTTCATGTGCTATGGTACCTAGGCTTGACACTTGGATGTAGTACATAGAGTGTTAAGTGGAAAATAATTAATTTTAGCTTAGGGTCTTCATGGCAGGTACAATTCATAAACAAGTTTGGATTATATGTTAAATACTTTTGTATACAGATATTTTGGCTAACACCCTTAAGACAATATTCTATTATATGCCAAATATTTTTCAATATTGGGCATTGGGATGCCTATGTACCCCAATATGCCTTCTTAAAAATTTACTAGGCTCTTCACTAGTCATGTATATTTTCTGGAATGTCACAGGTGAGGAATTAAAACTTTTCATAAACATTCTATAAATCTTTAAAAACTCTTTCATATAAAACTCATAGGAAATGCTAAGTCTCATTTCATCAAATCTTAGACACAAGAATACTTTGGAACACGTCCCATACAATACTAATATAGAAAGTACTATGTCTATTACATACTTTTAAATAAAAGACATGAAAGACATCTATATATGCCCTAGAGTCAATTAAGGACATACTTCAACATATTCTTAGATGACTCTACAATCCAAGCTCGCTTCATGATCCCTCTCACCTGTCACCTATACCTTTAGAGATGACAAAATGTATGGAATTAGTACAACTACTTGTAGTAAGTATGACATTATGCATAAAATCATGAAAATGGACATTTATTAGAAATATGCATATTTTCTTTTAAATATCATGTAATAATCATAAGAATAACATATAACATCTTAGAAGCAGATAACATAACATTTAAGAAATTGAGAACATTTTTAGGACAACATTACAATAACCTCAATTCACTATACAATGAATTTCTTCACTGTTATAGTGAAGTTGCTTAATTCTACCATGGGCAATTTATATCATACAATCCTCTCACTAAAATCTATCCTAATACTCACTTAAGTACGACAAAGAGAGACAGCCCATATAACCTC